CATGAAATCTGTGGAAAGTGGTGTTGGGGCTGGTTTAGGAATGACTGGTGGTTTTGAGAAGATTGTGCATAAGATGATAACGTGACAGCTATGACTGCAGGATGCGCATTTGCACGTTATGTGGTGAGGCAGAGTTTTTAGAAACAGTTTTTTTTCCAAACTGGAAATACAGTGACACATCTGCTCTACCCACTCACTGAAAATGGGACACACAGGCTGTTGGAGTATGAGGTTCACAAGGCACTGCAAGCCCCCTGGTAAGGAAGGAGGTGGGCAGGGCGGGCAGTGGACAGAAGGGCTTCGGCCTGCCAGTCCCGTGTGGGAGAGGAGAGGGTCGGGAGTAGGAGAAGAATGCCCACCACTGCTCAGTTCACTGTCAGAGGAAGCAGGAGCTCCTGTGCACCGTACAGTGAGCACTAAACTCGGAGACGTGAAGCTGGACCAGATTAATCATAACAGTCCCGGCACCGGTGGCAGTGCGACCGGGATTCCACCCGATCGTAGCAGGCGTGGTGTGAGGCCTGCATCATGGAGATACTGAAGTGAGACTCGAAATAATGACACAAGACATTTCAAGCCCCGTAGAGGACCCGGCTAAGGGTAGGAACCCAGGATGTCCTCGTGTCACGATGTCGGTCTTCACAGAATATATGAAAATCCGCACATGTAACCACAGACTTTGATAAAAAAAAATCCTTACATACGCACACTGTGTGTGCTCTGAAACCTTCGGGGACGTAAAGACTGATTTGTCAAGCTGGCTGCCCTGTGGCCTGGCTCTGCTTCGCACCTGAGCCAGAAGGTACACAGGACTGTGTTGCTCCCCTGTCGGTCTCCTCCTGAGCTCTGTCCCTGTCTCGCCGTGTCCCCCTCTCTGCAGAGGCCACACGTGCTGTCCTTTCCCAACTGAGCTTGTCCTGTTCCTCCGCCATGGGCTGGGCTCCCACGTATGTGCCCTCGGCTTTGGGCTAGGACCTGGCCCCTGAGGTTCCAACTCACACCCTCTTCTTAAATGTGTTCCTGCGCTTGCTTGGCCTCAGGAACCTGCCTGGGAAGCCCTCTGTCCCATGCTTTCCGCTGTGGGTGACCCCTTCAGACAGAAAAGATGGGCGAGAAGGGGGCCCTGGCCAAGTGCTCAACTCCCATGCAAGAGAGAAGGTGAAGAGGGCAAAAATCACCACCTCAGAGATGCAGGGAGTGTTGACCACCTGCGGGTCTGTGCACTAGGAAGAAAGGAAAGACACAGAGGGCAGGTGGGAAGGTACGGGACTCCTTGCTCCATGGGTGCTTCACCTGGGCAGTGGGGCTTCCAGGCAGCAAGCTGGACCTGAGGAATCTAGCCTTGAATTGCAACTGAGGACAGTGGGTAACAGGACCTGGGTAGAGTGGACATCAAGATTTGTGAACCCCAAACGTAAAGGTAAAGTCGACTGTCAAAGATCCAAGAGTCACTGTGCTCTCTGAAGGGGTAAGAGGAGAAGGGAGGGCTGTTTCAGAACTGGACTGGAAGCAGGAGGCAGAGTGAGCATTCCAGGAGAGGGGAAGCCCCCGGAAGCTGGTACCTTTGCAAAGAAGAAATCTCCTAGAGGATTCTTAATATGAAAGCAGCATACAGCACCACACATTGGAAAGACTCCATGTTTATTATTTTGAAACAAAATGTTAAATCTCAAATTTACAAAAGAAACAAGTCATCTTTGTACCGGCTTGCTCTCTGTTCTCTTTTGTGGTAGGTTACATGGAGTTGGTCTTTGTAACTTTTATCTTTATTTGCAAAAGACATAGTATAAAATATGAGTGTGTGTGTGCATGCAGATAGACACATAGATATGAATCTAGCCACTTGTCACTTTTCAGCGCCTGCAGTGTGTCCCCAGACTGCCAGTCTTTTGTGCACAGGATGAATGACTGAGTGAGCGGATGAACAAGGTCCAGATTCCACCCTTGTCCCTGAACTATGAGGGCCTTTCTTCACTGAGTCAGCGGGCTGCCGGTCACTGTGGTCAGCCTCCTTGTGACTCTCTGGAGATGGAAACCATAGCCCAGAGCCACAGGAAGATGCCTGGTGGCTGTCAGCTGACACAGAGCAGATCCTCATGGGTCCTCAGAGTCAGGGTTCACTTTTATTTGAAAGCTTCCAGATGTAGCAGAAAAAAGCATTTGGTGTCCACCTCCTGGGTAGAAGTCTTCTCAGGGAAGGCATCCTACATGTCCACAGAGGGGCATCTTCCCCATCTAACCTGTAGGAGAAATGCCGTTTCCTCCCGTGCTCATCTCAAACAAGAATTGCAAGGAAGCTGGGCACTGGAAGAGAAATCAAAGCCTGTAGGGCTGACAAAATGATTATCCAGAGAAAGCTAAGAGAACATGGGAAGGGATCTTGACGGAACATTGTAAAACATAAACAGGATGCAGAATTTCATGTTGTGCCATTATTGCACCCAGTGAAGCAAGATGAATATTTTGAAAATGCTCAGTAGCCTTTCCATTGACCCATGGCCTGGACAAAGCCATTGTTGCAGAAAGCCAGAGGTTGTGGCTCATTATTTCAAATACTTTGCCCCAAATGATGTGCAGACACTTGTGGCTTTGCTCCCACATACTGCAGATGGTTTAATTTCATGTTGTGCCATTATTGCACCCAGTGAAGCAAGATGAATATTTTGAAAATGCTCAGTAGCCTTTCCATTGACCCATGGCCTGGACAAAGCCATTGTTGCAGAAAGCCAGAGGTTGTGGCTCATTATTTCAAATACTTTGCCCCAAATGATGTGCAGACACTTGTGGCTTTGCTCCCACATACTGCAGATGGTTTAATGTGTTAATTCCACTCACAAGTGCATGCACACTCATGCATAAACACACACACACACACACACACACATGTGCACATACACATTTCAGGTGGTCAGACATTTAAATCCAAGAGAAATTTTAGATTTTGGATTTTGTGGAAATCTGATCTTTACTGGCACTTTGTTTTCTTTTACTTTTTTAATATTTTCCCATTGTATTAATTACTATTTTAACAAAGAGAAAAGAACAAAATAGGACAGTGAAGTTTTAGACTGCCTCCCAGACACCCTGAGGCAGGAGTCGGCCCAGCTGCTTTCGCTGTTGGGCTGTATGAAGGCGGCGGCTGCGAGAGGCCGTTCACTGCTTCTGACTCTCACTTCAACTGTAAAATTACAGGTGTATATAAATCCTGCATTGCGTCTCTTGTAGCTCTAACATTCTGGACATGTAGTCTCCTTGGAATCTGCATGGGGAAATTTTCAGATTATTCAAACTGAAGTCTGTGGTCTGAACAATATCTTCAATATTAAATAGTAAGGAGAAGGCCCTTAACGTATTAGTTTCCAAACCTTTCTTGATCAAGTGCCCTGGGGTTGAGATGAGACTCTTGAGAGTGGCAACCTATTCCCCGCCTCCCTGCGATTTCCTGACAAACTAGAACTCACTTAACTTAAGGCCAGCCTCTCTCTCTGTCGCCCCAACACCCAGTCTCCTAGTAAATAGGAGTATATTAGAGTTAGTAAATTCAAGACAATGTTTTTAATGAATTCTCCTCACATTTTACTTTTTTATAACAGATAACTTATAAAATATTGGACTTGATGGTAATGAAGGCACTGACGACCTGAGGCATGTTTTTGCCTTCTGTATTAGTCCAGTTTCTGACCTTATAAGAGCATGCCTGAGGCAGGTTAACTGTTAAGAAAGGAGCTTCATTTAACTCACAGTTTGGGAGCCAGATGTCCCAACTGCACAGTGCTGGGTGTGGTGAGGACCTCCTGGCTATGTCACTCCTCTCAGATGGTGCCATGTTGGGAGTATATTTGACAGGAAGTGATCACATGGAGACAGGAAGCCAGGGAACATGGAGGCCCATTAGATCTTTTAATGATCTTTCAAGAACTAACCATAGTTCCATGAGAACTGCTTCACTCTTCTCTGTTCAGGGCCACGGTGACCTCCCACTGCCCCACCACTCCAAGGTCCTGAACCTCTTAACACTACCACCCTGGGGTCTGTGTTCCCAGCCCATGAGCCCTTGAGGACAAATCACAACCAACCCAGACCATATTTTAGGAGAATTCACTCCCTGGTGCTTTAAAGCCACTGAGTCAGGGAAGGTGAGGAGCAAAGGAAATAGGAACCAATTTTGAGAACTGTGGGTCTGATTCCTATGGATCTCACTGCCAGGAGGTAAATTTAGTGATGGTGAGGTTGGTGCCTTATCCCTTCCCCTTTCTTTCCAATGTTAATGCGGCCAGCACGCTGCTGGGCTCGTTCAACACAGCATCTGGCAAAATGTCACAGTGGGAAAATGGATACATATTGAAGATATACTCCTAAGTGAAATAAATAAGTCACACATGTGTAAATACCGAATAGTGTCCCTGATGTGAGTAATCTGCAACAATGCATAAGATTCTAATAAGATTACTGACATTTAGAAATGGGAAGAAAGGAGCTAAAGGTGTAGGGAAGGTGGGATGGGTAGAGGAAGAGTAAAAAGGGAAAAGAAAAAAATGTGAGAGAATGAAAAGATGAAAATAAAGTGTTTGTAGATGGGGAGGGGAGGAGGGGGTGAAGGGAGGGCAGAGGTAAGGGGAAAAAATGAGAATCAAGACTTGCCATGTAGAGGTACATGATCCCAACAATGAATGTAACTGTACTGTATCCCTAAAATGTACCAATAAACTCAATTAAAGCTGAAAAAAAAAATGTCACAGTGGGGTTGAACCCTGCATCATCACCAGCTTTGGCTTCCAGGATCACTACACAGATATTTTATTCTGAGGCATTTGTCCTTATTCTAACCAATTTCCATAGCTTCTCATCAACTCTTAGCATCCTCAAAATTTTAAAAATGTGTCTCATTAGTGCCATACTCTGGAAATATAATTCAGAATTTGTATAAGTTTCTGAGATGAAAAGAAAAAAATTAACAAAGTCCTACAAAAATAAGCCTGCACCCTCTCATTTCCTTTCAGCTGTGTCCTGTGGCATCCCAGAGCCCCCGGGAAATGGCTCATTCACGGGCAATGAGTTCACGCTGGACAGGAAAGTCCTATACGAATGTAACGAGGGCTTCAGGCTGGAAGCCAGTCAGCAAGCAAGTGCAGTGTGTCGGGAGGATGGCTTGTGGAGCAACAGGGGGAAGCCGCCTGCTTGTAAGCGTAAGTGCTGTGAATATTTGCCCGTCTGTGTGGCTTTAGCGGGGAACTGAATACACGGGGGAGGGCTCCGGGTCCCACACTGTGAGGACGCAGTCTCTCTCATCATGGTGAGAACAGAGCCAGTGTATTTCATATGGAGCTCCGGCTCCAATAATGAGCTGTGTGCTCAGGAGAGTCAGCCGGATGAACCCTGCTGGTTCAGTGCAGTGTGCCCACCATGTCTGGCTCTGTGTCCACATTCACGCTGCAGGGATGCCATTTGGGGGCACTGAGGCACGAGGCCAGCAAGGGCACTCCGCATGACCTGTCGACATGTCTTTCATCCCCCTTGTGGTCTTGAGCTCTCCGAAGAAAAAGCAGTGCTGGTTTTTGTGACTATCACCTGCTTCGCAGAACTTGAGTATGCTCAGAAAATAATGTAGAAAGGTAATTGGGAAGCGAGGTGAGGTTTTCAGGAAGCTGTTTGCAGTGTGGTAATTATTCACACATGAGCCAGAAGTCTGGTTTGATGTAAAGTTTTAGTCTTGAAAAAGAATAAGTGTATCACAGACCACACAGAACACACACACACACACACACACACACACACACACACGTACACACGCACACACGCATGCATGCACAAAATACCCACAGCAAGCTTCTCAAAGTATGTTTAAAAAAAGGCTTACATTGGAAATAATCTGTCCTTGCTGTGTCCCCAAATTGAAAACCACATAATATGCTGAGATTATTGCTCTGTTAGCAACAAAGATCCACATGGTCTTAATTATAAAATGAGTTTATTTATCTTTATTTGTGCATGTTGGTCATGTTAAAAAGTTTAAACTCTTTAGATATGAACATGTAAATATTTATGGAAAAGAGTTTGTTTCCCCCAGTTTTTTTTTTCCTCTTTTCACGCTGTACTACATTTTCTGAGAGTCATTAGGCAATATTTAAAAAGCATTAAAGTTTTTGGCTACTTTCATTAAGCAAGGTACCATTCTATAGCAATTAAGTAATGCTATGAGAAGCTATGCTAATAAGATACATTGCTTTGGCTTATTTTTATTGTCATCTTTGAAAGTGTTAGCCTCTGAGAGCCAGGCCTTGCCCTGATGCGTGGCATCATGCGTGGTGTGTAAAAGGCTGTGGAGGCAGCCTGGTGCCTGCAGCCTGGAGCTCATGGGAACTGGGCCTGCTGGGTTCAGTGTCTCTGAGCCCTGAGCCCAGGAGCTGATCTGAAAACCTCAGAAACCCCGAGGTAGTGTGGTGCTAATGGCCTCCCGTGGAGGGAGAGGCTACAGATGTGCAATTCTGTGCTCCCTAGTTTTCCATCCTGGAGCCTTTTCATTAATCCAGTCATTGCCTACTCTGCTTGTGCATGAAAATCCTGCACAGAGATTCAGAAACAACTGGAAGCCCAGTACTGACTCTCAGCGGTTCTCAGCTACCTGGTCTTGGGGAGAGACCTGGCTTCTCGTTGATAGAGCTTTTCCTTGAAGTTCTTTTTTATGCTGTGCTTAACATGTATTTACTAATTCTGAAGGGAACCCCCACTTTAAATTCGGATACTGACAGAGAAACTATTTAAATGTAACTTTTCTTTGCACCTCATTTTGTTTATTTGATAGACTTTACTTTTCAAAGTCTTTTTAGGCACACATCCAGACTGAGCAAAAGGCACAGACACCTATCCTGGGCGCCCCCGACATGCATGGCCTCCTCACTCCCTGCGCCCACTTTGGAGGGGCCTTTGCTGCACGGTTTGCTTTAGGCTGCACTTGGCCTTATTGCCCTGTGCACAGTAACTTCCATCTACCTCTTCAGCACCACGCAAGGCGCTGGCCTGCTGTAAAAAATCCCTGGGCCCCACCCCACCATCCGTCCCCCACCAGCCTTGCAGCCTCCAGTCGCTTACTGTCTAGGCGGTTTTGCCTCTGCCAGAAGGTCAAGGACTTGTCTCTATAGAGGATGAGCCTATTTCAGTTGGCTCCTCTCGTCAGCCTTATGCGTTTGCTTTCCTCTGCGTGTTTTCGTGGCTGAATGGCTCGTTCTCTTCATTGCTGAGAAGTACTCCACTGACTGGAAACAGGAGCTTTCATTTAGCCTTTCACCTACTCAGGGACCTTTCAGGTGCTGCCAAGTCTTGGAACTTGTGAAGAATTCTGCTATAAACATCTGTGTGCAGGTTTTATGTAGATTTTAGTTTTCAATCCATTTGCATGAATACCGCAGAGTGTGAGTACTGGACCCAATAGGAGAGTGATTTCAGCAGGTTAGCGGCTATGCGGTCTGTGTTCCCAGGAGCCTGAGAATTTCCACTGCCACCCGTCCTCACCAGCACGGGGCTTCTGCCTCTTGTAGAGGTGCAGTGGTGTCTTTCCCAGGTGACCCAGGGTGTGGAGCACCTTTCCCTGTGCCGCCTTCTTTGGTGAGAGTGATGAGCTCGCTGTCTGCTCAGGTCTTCACCACAGCACAGTCTTAACCGGCTGCCCATTTTCTTATCAATGAGTTTTAAGAGATTTTTTGTACATTTTAGATAACGGTCCTTTATCAGGTGTGCTTTTGACAAATGTTTTCTCTCAGTCATTTTATTCCTTCACAGGGCTTTCATGGGACAGAAGTCATTCATTTTGACAAAGTCCAGATAATCAGTTTCTTTCTTTTATGGTTGGTGCCAGACTCGAGATCATTCAGATTTTCTGTGGTGTCTTCCAAGATATTTATTTCTTACTCTCTTTGCTTGTGCTTTACATGTGGCTCTGTGGCTCACATTGGGTTCATTTTTACTGAGAGTAGGCGGTCTGGGGCCAGCTTCCTCTGTGCTTGTGGGTCTGCAGTGGCTGCAGAGCCACCTGCTGGAAGGACTGTCTTCTCTCTGCTTTACCTTTGTCAGAGAGCCAGCGGATGTATTTCAGGGTTCTTTCTGGGCTCTCTGCTCTGCTTCACTGACCCACATATCCATTATTTTGCCAGTTTCAAAGTCTTCATATCTCCACTCTCACTGGCTAAAATAGAGTATAATAAAATGACACGTTTTCCACAAAGTATTTACTATGAATACAATAATGTAGAAACTTAATTAAAGGAAGATTTTCTGATATCCTACAAAATGAGAATTGCTGTTATTTGTAAATGTTTATAGTGACCAATTTGATTTCAGTAAAAATGTCTCGATTGACATGGAAATAATAGAATGAATATTTCCATACTCCTAAGGTACAAGAAATCATTTTGCCTGAAGATAATCCACAGACGCCCATCTCACTGCCATTGAGCGTTAACCGGTGCAGTGTTGTCCTTACACTAATTAAGGGCGTCTCACCCTGTGCCCTTTATGTCTCAGGACTCCGAAGAGAACAAAGGCCTCCCTTTCCACCACGATGTGTAACTTCCCTACACAGTGCGTGAAGGATGGGACTCCTCCCCGGAACGTGTGCACGCGGAACTTTTCGTGTTGTCGTGAGCTGTGTTTCTGTGTCAAACCCACATACGATTGGGTGAAGCAATTGTGCACACCCCAGTTTGTAGCTCTGTAGTAGAGCTGGTCACTACATATCAATTTATGCAATTTGCACCTGTCACGGAACAGTGTGAGGAACCCGCTATGAAAAGTTACGGGGAAAAGAGAGACAGTGCAGCTTTTGCAGAGCTTGTCCGGGGTAGAAGAAGGGAGACACTGAGAGACAAAATGCACAAGACGGAAACTCTCAGCAGGAGTGGGGATGTAGATGAGGTGACAGGAGTGAGCAGGGCAGGACAGCGAGGCTGGCAGGGCGGAGCTGGGTCCGGTGGATAGCAGAAGTACCATCGGAGGGTGACGGGACCACTGCCCACCCACGGGCCAGGCTAGGCCGTTCCATTGTTACAGCAGCCTCTGAGGCAGGGACTGTTTGTTATCACACAGCTTTAGTCAGAAGCAGGTAACTGAATTGTCCAAAGGCTTGAACTGTGACCACGAAGATTTGATTAGTTGTTAAATAAACTTCTAGAGAAGTCTTGAAGCCCCCCACTGCTGTGGGTCAGTTGTGTGGGAGCACTGTGCTCATGTACAGCAACTTGGGGCATCAAGGAAACACGGTGATGGTATGACGCTCAGGAGGACTTCCCAGCTGCATCCAGGAGTCTGCTGCACCATGATGGAGTGTGAATGGGGGTCTCATGCACCAGGACAGTATGAACTTCACATTCTGCCTGGGAATCTGCTGTACCATGTGGACAGCAAATCAGAAGTTCTCCCTGAGGATTCAGTGCGCCATGGTGGAGTGTGAACCAGACCCTCTGCCTGAGGATTCATTTCGCCATGGTGGGGTGTGAACCGGACCCTCTCCCTGAGGATTCAGTGCGCCATGGTGGAGTGTGAACCAGACCCTCTGCCTGAGGATTCATTTCGCCATGGTGGGGTGTGAACCGGACCCTCTCCCTGAGGATTCAGTGCTCCATGGTGGAGTGTGAACCGGGCCCTCTGCCTGAGGATTCAGTGCACCATGGTGGAGTGTGAACTAGACCCTCTCTCTGAGGATTCAGTGCACCATGGTGGAGTGTGAACCAGACCCTCTCCCTGAGGATTCAGTGCACCATGGTGGGGTGTGAATTGGACCCTCTGCCTGAGGATTCACTGTGCCATGGTGGGGTGTGAACCGGACCCTCTGCCTGAGTATTCAGTGCGCCATGGTGGGGTGTAAACCAAACCCTCTCCCTGAGGATTCACTGCGCCATGGTGGGGTGTGAACCGGACCCTCTGCCTGAGTATTCAGTGCGCCATGGTGGGGTGTAAACCAAACCCTCTCCCTGAGGATTCACTCACCATGGTGGGGTGTGAACTGGACCCTCTGCCTGCTGGCTGATACACCAGGATGGACTGTGCACTGGCAGTTCTCCCTAGGGGTCTATTTCACCACTGCAGATTGTGATTGAAGGCTCTATCCATTTCCCTGATTGGGGACTCCTACAGCTGGTGTTAACGGTTTCACAGTAATTGAGGAGAGTGTAAGCAGAGCAGCATGAGAGGTACT